AGCCATAAGAGACCTGTACAAAGCTGAATCTTCTATGAATACGTTCAGCCCCTAATTTGACAAACAAAACTGTATTTCATTCTTCTTTTGAGAGACAGAAGGTCAATTTGGTTGTGAATATATTTAATGAAATGACCGTTTCAGCTTTAGAGAAATGTGGTTCACATAACACTGCATATTTTGTAAAAGTTATTTTTACATGGTGGACAATTGTTAACATTAACTGCCCTTTAAGTTATATTCTTAAGAGGAATCCCTTAAAAGAACCATTTTCTAGTGTAATGGATGGCAGGTTTATTTTTTTTAACTTTTTGGCCTGGCTAGAACAATGGAAACAGTTGTCCTCTAATGGCTCAGGGTTTTTTACTGTAGATACATTTAACTCACTATACCATACCACTTATATAATTAAGGAAATAATTACTTATATTTTAGTAGGAATCCAAGCTCCTTACTTTTTAACTGCCAAGCTTCAAACAGACTGTTTACAGTCGAGATTCGGACAATATAGACAGTTAGCGGGGGTTAACTACAACATTTCAGTGTTATGGAAGCTGATCATAAAATAAGAGTTAAAAACTTACTGAGCCTCCATTCGGCTCGTTATGGAGAAATTACTTTCTCTGTCAATGTTTGTGAATCTATAATCCTTACACAAAGTAAGCCTAGCTCCTACTCTAACCCTAAAAGCAAGACACAAATGAACCAAAGACTTATGAGTGTATTAGATGATAACTATTTGAATAATGTTGATTTTGACAAATCAGGCCTACTGTATGTGTGTGGCTATATTAGTTTCAAAATAACGACTAACATTCAATGTAAAAGTTGTATTTCACTGGTTGTAAGCCCAATGAACACAGATGATGTTTATTTTCAAACTATTAACCGGGGCGGTTTATCTGTCCCTAGTGATTTTGTGGTTTGGATAGGTAAACATGTACAGTCCACTCTTGGTAATTCAAACACTTGATAATTCAAAACTTTCGATAATTCAAAATGAAGGCTCAGTCCCTAAAGAATCTCTCAATATTTCAAATTTTTACCATGCATTTTGATACACTCGGTATTTCCATGTCCAAATAGAGGGCAGGTCAATTTGTAACACGCAGTAATTCGAAGTTTAGTCGGCAAAACACTCTATAATTCGAAGTGATCTCTTCATGTTATAACAGGAAACTATACAGTACAGTACATCCTGTTCCCATGGTAGGCTATTTGATGGACGTTTTGATGTTTGTTTAGTTAGAGCAGTAGTCTGAGTTCGCTGACTTGTTTTTCTAAGTTGGCAATCCGATCTCTAGATTGCGTGACATCTCCTTGAGCACAAACACAGTTGTCAGACAGCTGATAGTTCAGCTTTTGGCGAAATATATAGCGCTAAATAACAGATCTCTTTGCAACTACAGTAACTGAAAAATAAGCCGTTGATTGTTTAAAAGTGTACTAAAATACGGTATGATGTTTTATTGTAACGTGCTGTACCTTTGTATGTATTAAACAAATGAACTCTCTGTAATTCGAATGGTTTATTTTTCTCCCGATAAATCGAACTCTTGATAATTCAAAACTCTTGATAATTCAAATTTATATGCTTGGCCTACCAATTTCGAATTATCAAGAGTCTACTGTATTAGGTATTATGCAGACGTTAATATCAGAAGAGTTTGAAGAAATATTTTTACTGAGCAGCGATCACAGACGTGATCTAGTAACTTAAGCCGAAATCGGCATTCTTAATGACAACAGTATTGTAGTAGAATTAAGTAAATCTTGTGAATGTGGGCGGGCTTATGAAAAATTAGCTTCAGATGTGATTTTTAAAATGTCAAATGTGCTTCTAAGTAACTACACAAAAAGGAAAAATGACAAACTAAATGTAAAATCCAGTAAAAGAAAAGTCACAATATTATCTTAAGTTACTTCATATTTCTGAACAGTGTAATCTCTTTTTGAATAAAATATGTTTAAAATAAACCTTGCTGTTTCATTCAAACCGGCTACAAGCTCTCTAGGCCTATTTTTAAGAGGATTTGTTTCATAAACTGATTAGGTTCCAAATGGTTCAGTTTTTATTACAAATGTATAGCGCTTGTTGAGCGGAGCGAGCGAAGCGAGCGAAGCTCTTATACTACACTCCTGCTTTTTTATTACAAATACTCCTCCTGAACGGCTGAAGCGATCTTCACGAAATTTAACACAGTCATAGTACCCAACCATGGGAAGGTATAAATCTGAAATGGTACAAATCGGACCATAGGAATATTCCCTACATGAATGCAAACTTTTAGAAATTTAACATGGGCCTTATGGGTTAATTGGTTGCCATGACATTATTTGTGAGTAAACAATAAAAAGTAAACAAGAGCCTCGACATATGTTAGTCAACAAATCTACCACATTATAAATACAGTACAAAAGAAAAAATCTGATGAATACTAAAGAGCATATTAGTTAATTGCATGTAATACGAAGTGATTAACAATCAGTCATATATTGAGTGATTAAAATCATGACGTTTATATTTAATTGTATAATCGTTCTGTTCTTTTTAACAACAATGAATAGTCAACTAATTAGGCCTAGGCCTATGTAGCGTGGAGAAGGAGAAGTTAAAACGAGGGCATTAAAAAACACTATAACATAATTATACCGACAAAAATCACACTGCCCTTGATTTGCAAGTAAATTTGTAAAAAAATGTACCTGTAGCTAAAAATACAAAATAATTTTACGAAATGAAATCACAACCACTTGGTTTACAGATAAGGTTTACAACTAAATGGTGTAACTTAGACAATAAAATCCCAAAGGATTAACACTAATATTGCTGTGTGCACTTCGAAAAGAATTAATCATTAATTAAATTAGGACTATATGCTCCTCTGTCAAATTCATGAGAAGATGTAACAACGTCGTTTTAAACCAGATATGTCTACTGGTAGGCCTATTGTCTACCACCTCGCTTTACTCTGCGATACTAACTTACAAAATAGTTTTAAACATTGCCATGTAGTAGTCTAAAGTTAGGTTGGAAAAAATATATAGGTTCCAGCTACTAGGAATAATAAGGTTTCAAGTTAAGCAAACTGCTTATTTTGATGTCATTATAAATGTTATGTAACGTACCGGTAAACCAATTCCTAAAGTTTTCACTTATTCTTTGTAGTCTACATTATAGTCGTATTGATAAATTGTATTGCACCAAAGGGAAATTTTGAAAGTGGTTGACAATATATTTCTTACTTTTAACTGCTGAAATAAAACTAGACCTAATTATATTATCGATTAGCCTATCTCAATTATTCGCTGTTAGGAAATTATTACAAACAAAAAGTTAATGTATTTATATAAAAAATGCATTCTTATCACAAAATTAAATTATAAATGTCTCAGATAAAAAAACTGATTAGTGAAGTTAAGAGAAAATCATATTTTAACAAAATCAGAAGCAAAACTTTAAGGCCGCCGAGGAGATTCGAACCTGGCATCTCAAATAATGCACGTTATTGCCTTTTAATAATTCAGGTATCGCATAGGTTTACCATGATTCATTTGCAGGATATAGAAATTATTGAGCAGAGCGTAGCGAAGCTCTTATCATTGACTTTATAACTTCTCTTATACTACACTCCTACTTTTGATTAATAGCATTGAGCATAATTTACTACAAAATGAATAACCATAAGGGTTGCCAGAATTAGGCTAATGCACCATATTGCGTTTGGATACTGTAAATAACTTTTACAGTATTTTATGTGAGCAAGACGTGCCATTAATGTAGACTTTGAATATGTACTGCAATTCCTATTTGCAGTGTACAAATAGGAATTCCATTAAGGTGAACCAAATATAACACTCATAGTTTCGATACTGCAATTACACAATTCGTTGACATGAACCCGACGCATAATTGACTTTAAATACTGCACATAGACATCCCATATAAGTGAAGCAGAAGTAGGCCTAAGCCTACCATTGACTTCGGATACTGCAATTCGGCATTTTATTTAAGTGAACGAAATAAATGGACCATGATTTAGGATACTGCAAGTAGACTATTCATTTACATGTACCATTGAGTTTGGATACTACAAGTAAACAATCCGTCTACGTGAACCGGACGTACAATTGACTTTAGAATCCTTAAATTGGCATTACATTTATGCGAACCAAATGTATCATTGGCATTGGTTACTGAAAGTAGACATTTAACTTATGAGAACCAGATGAAACATAGAATATGGTTCCTGCAAGTAGACAATTCATTCACTTAATCCTGACTTATGATTGACTTTGGATACCTACTGCAATTAGGCATTCTATTTAAAATGCGAACCAAATATATCATTGACATTGAATTAATATGCTGGCTCCGCTCAATATTGCAAGCAGAAAACTGCATTGTACACCTAGTGTATAATATTTAGGGTTTGGAATTAAGTGGTGGAATATACGTTTATATTAACATTAACATGTATTAATTAGTATTTCGTAATACAATATGTAACATTGATTGTAAGCACCATTTCATGCTAAAAATGAATCTATTGAACTGGTTCCATTTTGATAGCTTTCAATGTGAATAAGCGCAGTTTTGGCGAAAATACACGGAGTTGGACCAGGGTGGGGATGAGTCGCGGCGTTGCCACATCGAAGGCCGCGGCCTTATTACTAGAGACGGCTATGATTGATACCAAAAGTCTCTACAGTATAAAAATCAGATATAGAGAGACAGAAAACCAGGCATTTTAGACCCATGTTTATTAAGTTTTTTATTTTTTTACCTTTGGAAAAATCACATAAAATGCTTCCAGGGAGTTTGTATACATCCTGTATATTATATATTTTTTAGTTAGTTTATCAACTAGGTGTTCACAATGTAAAACTTGATTTGTAGCAATAAGCTCTATGAGAGGAAACACTAGTGTTTTTACTACTATTATAAAACCGAGTTTGAAGTAATGGTAAGGAGTGTGATAATAAAATTCTTGTTTCAGTTACTGTAGAGTCAGTGGGTGCCTTGAAACCTGATGAGCTGTTTTTGGAGGCTGTCAAAGTTCTCAAGAACAAATGTAGAGTGTTATTACAACAAATTGATAATGTTATGACTGAGTAAATATAATTCCTTTTTATTACTGTTGTTATTCATTCACTTTATTGTTTTACAGAATGTAATCTTACTAATATTATAAACTAGCTGGCCCGACAGATGTCGTCCTGTCCTATTGTCGTTTTTTGTCAAATGCTCGTTCATTTTCAAGATGAGCTCGTTCGCATGGCTCAATTACGTCCTGGTTGAAGTTTGTTCGCTACGCTCACTCACCTTTAGGTTGGAGCTAGTTCGCTGCGCTCACTTGCCTTCAGGTGCATGAGCTCGTTCACTACGCTAACTGGCATCCGGGTTGAAGTTCGTTCGCTACGCTCACTAACCTTTTGGTTGCAAATTAGCTGTTGTCATATATTTAAAAATAATAATAGTGCTGCACCCTGTTGGTAAACCTATTAACTTTTTAATGCTATTGAACATCACAGAATCAAATTGTTTAGTTGAACCAGATGTTAAGATTCTTTAATTCCATTTAAATATGAGTACTCATAAGGTTAACATGGGAAACTCCAGAGCCACTGGGGCGGAGCCCTTTTGACGGATCTGCACCAAACTTCACACAAACTATCCTTGAGTAATGCTTAAAAATACCTGAAAGTTTCATTACAATCTGTCGAGCGGTTTCGGAGTCTACAAAGGACAAACAAACAAACATACATTGGATTTTATATATATAGATGTGAAAGTTTGTGTGTTTGTTTGGAGTTCAATCACGCATAAACTACTAGACGGGGGTAAAAATGGGGTTTTCCCATTTTTGACCCTAAAAACAAAACAATGTTGCAATTTCTTTTTAAACCGTTGTGTAGAGCTTAAAAAAAGAAATAATTTAGTACGAGCTTTTGGCCCGTCCTACGTACGGGAATCGAGTAGTCAATTAAATCTGAATATGATTCAGAACAGCTAGTATACAACTTGGTGGCCGATTCACACACACTGGCTTTGAGTACAGTAGCTACATACCACCTTCCACTACATACTATCGCTTACCGTACCTTATTTTACCACCTTGGCCACTGAAACCTCTAAAATGATCCTGGCCTCCCGTTCTCTTCTATCCCCTGCCATTTCTAAGGAAGATACCAGTCTGAAGATGTCTTTCATTACTTGGTCTTCCAAGTGGTCGTCTACCTTGTAGTACTCCTTGGAATACACTTTTAAAAGTTGAAGCATCTTCTCTCCGCCATGCAAAGCCTGCCCAGCCCATCCGAGATCCGAGCTTTTTGGTCTACTTTTGGAATGTACCCCTTTATCAAGTTTCTGAATTATACAGTACTACTGGGATAGTTATGATATGGTATGAATCAATTTTGGTTTCAGCAGCTTACTGGTCAGTTTTCTGGAGACCTACTACACCGGTTGACATTTTCATTACAAATAAAATGTGTACTGTATGCAGTCATACTTATATTCAAACATCTAGAAAAAGATGTATCAACACGTAAACCATTTATATCTTAAAGGATTTAGCACTTAAACTTAGACGGATTGCATTTATGACAAAACTTGATTATACGTTTAAAAATGTTAGTTCAAAATTACACAATCTCCTGATAAAATAAATCTTTTATGGTAGGAAAGAAACTACATGTTAAAGTGAAATAGTGTATAGGCAAACTCTGACGATCAATATTTTTGTATACAAACAACTTGTAACATAAACATTTCAATGACAGCTAGAAACCAGCTGTTAGTTAAACCACCACTAAAACAACTTAAAACTCGTCCGTCGGCTGCTAGACTTTTTGAAAATTAAAACTTAGTTTCTAAAAAACTGAAACCATAAACTAAAATTATGGCTTTGACATTCCCTAGTTCTCAAAATTATCTTCCTTTCAACACAAAAATCATGAAAATCCGTCAAGTGGTTGATTCAGAATCGTGAAATAAAAAAACCCTATTACGGTTTAATATATAGGATGTTGAAGCGCTGCTGTATGCCTAACGGTCACAGAGAAAATTAAAAAATAGTGTAATTTAAAATTCCAATGTTATTCTTATGGAGAAAATGAAAACTGTTGTAGTTTACTTGTTTATGCATGTATATTGATACAATTTGGAAATTTTATTTATTTCATCCTTTAGTATTGATATTTTGTATGGTCAAAAACACTTTTTACCTTCCCCGTAGCAGCAAACCTAAGCACTTCTTTAAATCTAATGTTATTAGATCTTATTTATGGAAATATTTTAGTAAAAATGTAATCAGACAAGTTGAAATTCGCTTAGTCTGCAGGTTTGCTGCTGCGGGGGTATTTGACTTTTTGAGAATTTTTAATAATTTATTTTCCTCTATTGTGTAGGTGAAGTGGTGGAACCTTATGGCAATGGTAGATGTGTAATACTATAGTAAGTTTAAAGAAGCAAATTTTATCAAAATGTGTCCTCCCCCATTGCAAACGCAAAGCTTGAGTATAACTGCAATAAGCATTTTATACTTATATGCCAACCCCGTACGAAGGATGGGTACTCTGCTAGTGTAAAATTATATTTATAACAGAGGTATTTTGAGACTTTACCAAGGAATTTATTTAGAAAATTTTTTTGTTTTTAGGGTCAAAAATGGGAAAACCCCATTTTTACCCCCGTCTAGTAGTTTATGCGTGATTGAACTTCAAACAAACAAACACACAAACTTTCACATCTATATATATCAAATCCAATGTATGTTTGTTTGTTTGTCCTTTGTGGACTCCGAAACCGCTCGACAGATTGTAATGAAACTTTCAGGCATTATTAAGCATTATTCATTGTGATGTTAGCCTCTGGATTGCCAAATTATAATAAAAAGGTTTAAATATCTGCTATTAGGCAATCCATTAAATTGCAGTTGCAACTAGTTTAGTTTCATATATTGATCCATTATCAGGCGGTACAAGGACTTCCTTTCTCCATATGAAGAGTATCACATTTAATACGTAAAATAAATAAAAATTTACACAGCACGATACGAACACGGAAAAAACCCATTTATGGTAACTGATAAATGTTCTGGTCTGGACTCAAAAACCGCCGGGATAGTTTGTTTGTTTGAGTTTTTTGCCAAAGCAATCTCGACACCTAGAAGCATTGGTCCATCCATAGTGTCGTTTGTTACAACTGATCAGTTACGATAAATGTTTTTTTCCGTGTTCGTATCGTTTTGTGTAAATGTTTATTTATTTACGTGTTAAATGTGACACTCTTTATATGAAGAAAAGGAGTCCTTTTACCGTCTGATGATGGATCAATATATGACCCAAAACTAATTGCGACTGCAATTTAATGGATTGCCTAGTAGCAGGTATTTAAACCTTTTCTGTCAGAGCCAACTCGGTACTTTGAGTCGGATTGTCTTTACTACAGGCAGAAAAAATAATGGTGAAAATTTAAAATAGTTCTAGTACAGCAGACTGTGGGAGTGTTGTGTGACTTGTCCAAGGCCTTTGACTGTGTTGATCATGGAATACTTCTTGAAAAATTAAGTAGACATGGAATAAAAAATATAGCATTACAATGGTTGCTTCTTATCTGAAAAACTGTAAACAAAGGATAATAATAAACAAATTTCAAAATAATTACATGTCAGATTAGGAGGATGTTCCATTTGGAGTGCCTCAAGGATCAATTCTTGGACCATGTCTATTCATTTTATCTGTAAACGACCTAGGAAGTGTATAAAAAATGCCAATATTTCAGTATGCAGATGATACAGCAATCATTTGCAAAGAGCAAAAAGGTGTCGACATTATTCACACAATCACCAGAGAGCTCCATTCTCTTGAGGACTGGTTTACTGTCAACGGCCTCTCCATGAATGTATCCAAAACACAGCTGATACAATTCTCCGCCTCCAATATAAAAGATGAGATCACCCTAAATTCAAACTCAAATTTGATAGTTTCACAAGTTTCAGTTGATTATTTAGGAATAAAAATAGACTCACATTTAAATTGGCAAACTCACATTAAAAATTTATCAAAAAGACTTAATTCAGCTGTATTTGTATTACAAGTAATTAGAGATACAACAAATTTTTACACACAAATTGCAGTATATCATGCTTATTTTGCTTCAATTATGAATTACGGACTTATTTTATGGGGATCGTATAGTGAAAGCAAAAAAGTGTTTATTCTTCAAAAAAGGGCAATTAGACATATAGCCAAGGTTCCTCCAGCCAAGAATATTTCAGTCAATTCAAAATTCTCACTTTATACAGCTCTTATATTTATTATATTTCTATGATGGTCAAGAGTAACTTGGATACACTTATGGAGAGTCAGCCCTCTCACAACCATGATACAAGATACAAAAAATTAATAAAACCAATGCAACATAGACTAAAATTATTTCATTTATCCCCACAATATATGTGACACAAAATTGTTATTAAGCTGCCTTCAACAATAAAAGAAATTGATTGCATATTGAAAAAAAAAAAAAAAAACACTTAAGATATGGCTTCTGGAGAAGGCATTTTTTTCACTGGAAGATTTCCTAACAAATGTATAATTATTTTTAAGTATTCAATATTATGATTGTTGTTTTGTTACAATAGATTTTAGTTTGATGACAAATCACCTGTCAATCATTGATGTAATGTGATGATAATAAATAAATAGAGTAATAGCTATTTACCTTACAAGTGTAGTAAGAGCGTTTTTACATCACGCAGGTGAATGTTGTGCAACGAGCGGAAGCGAGTTGCATAATTTACCTAAGATTGTACAAGATTTTACCTGACCCGACAATATACAGGAGGTTATGAACAATATTTTTCATTATCCATTTCACTCATCTTCTAACAGTAACGTTCATTTACCAACACATTCTAGGTTAGGAAAATTCTTCAAAACATGACAATAACATTCAAGCGCACAGCTGATTTCTAGCGTTGAACGTCGTTGGCACCATAGAGCTATATTTTTTAAGTTAAGCACTCAATGTTATTTAAATGGGTTTCATTACCTCACCGAGTGAGTTTTTTTCAACTTTACATCACTCGTGAAGTGAAGAAGTTGTATACATCACGCTTGGGATAGGGAAGTTTAACATGGCGGGTTAGGTAAATAAATATTATGCATATTTGCCTCCAGGATTGATTAATTGACATAAAATGAGGTTGGTTACTCACTTGTCGTCAATCAATCCTATATTTGTCGTGATGACTATAGTTTCAGTGTTAAAACCCCATTTTCAAATCTTCAGTAGAAAAATCGTCAAACATATCTTCTTGCACTTGCCGTTGTCAATAATACATTACACATAAACACACATAGAAACATTTAGATTCACAAAAATTATGTACAATCATGCTAGGCCGGCCAAGGACAAAACCAGACTGCAGGGTTCAATAAGAGTGAGATTAGCCGATGCCTACTTAATCCTTGGGTGAGGGGTATCAGCTGTTTATTTCCTCTATTGTTCTGTAGTTTTGCCACTCTGTCGAATAAAATTTTTGGGCCAAAATTCAATTTCTCATTCAAAACTTTTTTATTGCTTTGTACATGAACGATCTGATTGACCTATAATATACTTTGGGCCAATCGTTGCAAGTAAATAATGGTTATTCGAGCAGCATGACAGATAAGATAGTTAAACAGAAAAAAATCTCCAGATAAACCTAATTCTAAATTCATATCCCAATTTGGCAATAAACTAAATTACACCTTGAAAAGTTAATTGAAGAAAAAACATCATTCTGGAATGTGTGACCTTCTTTTTGTTTGTACTATTTACTTTTTTAGTCACTTTATTTAAAGTTGTAATATATTATTTTGATACCTTTATAGAATATGGAAAATCATAAAACTCAATAATTTTATAACACTTTTCTTTTATTAATTAAAAATCAAATGCAAAGATCCATTACAATTAGTCTATCAGGTATTTCTACCTAACTGCTTGAATGGCCTGGCATAAGTTATAAATACAGTATAGCCTAAATAGCCAAATGCTAACTAAAGAGTGTTCTGATGAAGGTTAGCCTACTGCAATTATTATCTTAGTTTTTTACTCATCTGTGTCCCGTAAGTCCTTGTGACCTTGGACGTGGTTGTCGATTCCTTACCGAAGAAGTCCACCTAGGATGATGTCGATTGAGCGAATTCACCACCAGTTGAAGTCTGTCTATTAGTCCTTAATCGAGAAACGATTCATGCAGGGGTTATCGTTCATACATGCTGATGAAAACTAAATTGACGATATTGATCTAGGCCGCATTGCTCGGTTGGTTACACTCGATGTTGGCTTATAGCAACTTCGTTGTTCGAACACTGACGGTCACTTTATCCTATCGCATCTCGCTCTGGCTTCTTCGTACCACTTGACATCAACACACGTTGTTAAGCCGAATCTACTCCGTAGTTCTACACTTATAGTACATGCACGTGTATAACCACTAAGAAACCCACGAGCACTGTTGTTCACTAACATCTATCACCTTACGATCCTCTATCTTTTCTCTGCACGTGTGTCCATCATCCGTCCTAACCTCAGCGGAAGTAGTTTACCAAAAATGTCCCTAGCAGTAGATCTCGAGTTTCTATAGTTCCAACTTCAGTAACGCAGATTGTGGTATTGTGCTGCGCTCTATGCTTTGGTTTTGAAACTACTCTACCGTGTGGTTTTATTCTATTATGTCCGATTTTGCACAGCAAATAATTTAGTTAATATTTTTTAAGTCAAATTAATTTATACATTTCGTTTATAGAATTTACACCCATCACAAATGTAAGACTACCAGTAAGCTAAAACAACAATTGAACACATCTCTGTCTGATAATAGTTTCAAGGCTGTTAAAAACATCTGCGTGTACAGATTATCATGCAACGATTGGGCCAAAGTATATTATAGGTCAATCAGATCGTTCATTTCGGAAAAGGTATGTTGTACACCTTCCCAAGCCTAAATTGCAAACACAAAAATTAAATTAAAGTTTGCACAACACCTAATGAACGAAAATCACAATGTAAAAAAGTTGCATAGATAATCTAGAGATATTGCACATATATAAAAGGTAACAAGATGAACGTTCTCAAAAGCTTTGAAATATACAAAGCAATCAAAAATTCACCAAATGATGTTTTGAATGAGGAATTGAATTTTGGCTCAAACATTTCATTCAAAAGAGTGGCAAAACTACAGAACAATATAGGAGATAAACAGCTGATACCCCTTCCCCAAGTTCAACGTCATCAAGTAGGCATCGGCTAACCTACGCTCTTGTCTTTGTCCTTGGCCGGCCTTGTGCGATTGTACATCATTTTTGTAAATCTAAATGTTTCCGTGTATGTTTATGTGTAATGTATTATTGACAACGGCAAGTGCAAGAAAATATGTTTGACGATTTGAGTACTGAAGATTTGAAAATGGGTGTTTTTTAATACGTTTGCTACTGCAATAGTACCAAATTTTTCATTCATATAGACCAGCGACGCAAATATGCGACGGCCAGTTTCTACCCACAGACTGCCGTCGCATATATGAGACGGCTAGGCACATTAAAATAGACTGACGACACATATTTGCGTCCGTGTTCCAATGTTATCAAAAAGTTTATATCTTTGTAACGGTCTATTTGAAGGCACTGAATTCTCTGCAGTGGTCTACAGGGATGTATGACGCACAACTGTGTCGCTTGGTCTGTGGATATGATTATTAATTTGGTCATATGATAGTTGGAAAAACTGGTCTTTACTTTTCTGCATCACTGTATGTATGTATGCAGTATGTATGCTGCATTATCCTATGTAGCTTTTTTATTTGTTCAGTTATAAACTGTTCTTGAATAATCTGTTTTTTTTACTTACTTTTACCTCAAAACATAAACAAAAATTAACTGTCGCATATATGCGGCGTTTGGGCTATTTCAAGAAAAGTATAATAATTCTCACTATTGTCTTCACTATGGACCGGGCGTCGCAAATATGCGACATTACAAAAGGTTATCAAACATATTTAAAAAAAGAATATATTATTTACATACACGATTGCAGTGTATTACAGTTTTACATTTCTTTCAGTTCAGTTTTCCAGTTTAACAGTTTTTTTTAGTGCAGTGTATCACTGTTTTACAATCTGGTGGTCTGCGTGTACTGTTATCCAAGTGACAGCCAGTCTATGTGTTGAGATCGGTAGCGAACGTGTTGACCCCAAAACTATAGTCATCACGACAAATATAGGATTGATTGACGATAGGTTAGTAACCTCATTTTATGTCTTAAATTCACATACAACAAATATAATACTGTATACCTAAAAATTTGCATATTTAACAAGTGCTGTATCCAGTGAAACCAAGAATGTTTCTATATACTTTTATTTATAACATACATAACATAATTTTTTCAACATAATTACATAATTTACCTACTCAAAAACAGATCATTTTATACTCAGACATTCGACACTAATAACAAGGAATGTTTGGCTTGGGATATTATACATTTACACAGACAATATGTACAAAGCAGTGGATCATTTACTCTAACGAGTTAAGCATAAGGAGTTGCTTTAACACTTTGGTTTGACTTGTTTCTCGAATTTCTCCAGCTAGAAACATCTCATCCACAACAGTGTATACCTAAAAAAACAACAAACATAAGTTATTCAAAGTAGAACTGCACAATACTCCAGATGGTTCATAAGAATGAAGAGATGTATAATATATTTTCTACACCACAGATTTTGGGACATTGGTATTGGTATCGAGAATGATACCAATACCAATGGACAGTGGATAGGAAATATTCAAATTCAAGATTTGATAGATACAAAATTCAACAATAAAATTTTCTGCAAAAAGTTACGACGTTAACAGTATTTGCTTGCGATACTGCACACAAAACATCATTAGGTTGTCAAAGACTTGACTCTTAAAAGAAATTATTCCCAGCGTAATAAAACACATAAATAGTGCACAATATACAATTAAAGTCCAATCAAGTCCTACAGCCTTCTCCTTCTCTGTATTCTGAGTTAAAGTTTTTAGATCCAAATTGGCCAGTAAGAGTTTTTTTATTGTTGCTTCAATTTTTTCTTTACTTAGAAAAAACACCATAATTACTTTATTTCAGGATATAAAGCCAGGATTTGTTGTAGTTAGTATATTATATAATCTTATCTTATCTTCTATATGAGAGTGTGTATGGGTATGTATGTACCGTGTTTTCTCCATGACCACGCACTACCACCAACGTAGTAGCCTAGTAATAGATTGCTACTGATGTGCACTCTAATTTGTAAGACTATTTCCACTTCACTATTGACTTAGGGCTCTGCCCCACAGGCTTTCAATGATCTAAGGTCAGGTTTTCTTGAGTAAACACTGATTTTTTTTCATGCAGTAGTGGCTGGTGTTCATAGGTGGTGGGTAGGCTCTGCATATTTTTATATATAAAACAATACGGAGTAGAGCCATGAGCCTCGGTGGTGAAGTGGATATCGTACCTGGCTGAAGAACTGATGGTAGCCAGTTCGAATCCCACCGGAGCCGTTAATTTTTTGTCAAAGATTTAGCTTAGAATACTTCTTAACTGTACATCTTTTGTTAGAATTTAGGCACTTTAATTTATTTTATGATCAGAACTATTTTTCAATTAGTAAACCTTTCTTAGATTTTTTCATAATCAGCAAGTTTGGTTGGTTTGGTTAGGTTATGACAGATTAATTTTATAACTAAAAAAACATAAAACTGAATTTTAGGCATTTGTAATTTTATTTTATGAACAGAACTAATTTTTTGATTAATAAACCTTCATTTGATTTTTCATTATCAGCAAGTTTGGTTAGGTTATGACAGTTAAATTAAATTTAAATTTAACCTACAAACGATACGTTTTGACAGTGACGGTGATAGAGCTAACAATTTGCCGCAAACAGTTTGGCTATGCACGGTATGATGCGGAAGCGTTCGACACCAACCTAGAACTGACAGGTCAACCGACCGTGATTAAGAGGATTACAGCCTGGGTCATGTGCCTACACCCCTAAACTAGATGTGAAAATCAATTGAATAAAGTATACAGTTAGTATTTTACTAACAGTACTCTACATCACTTTTCATAAATCCCTAAACAACAACACCAAACCAAAATAATATTTTGAGGTAAGCTCAGTTGTTTAAAGTTTTATAAATTAGATGGTTTGAGCTATGACAGGTGCGCCAACATCAGTTCGACCCATCATAACGGTAGTTTGAGCCATACAGAATATCCAGATTGTGGTGGCTTTCCTGATTTAGAGTGTGCGCGCAACTTTGGACTCTGCCCCAAAGCGCCCATACTAAAGCATTGGAATAACGTCATGGCACCCTCAGCGCTGTTCGGTTGTTCTGCCAGAAGACTACATGGATTGGGATTGGGGGGTCTGGCCGCCGTCTGCGCCGTCCTTCCTTACTAAGCAAGCGACGATCAAAAGAAAATCTTTACTGAATTGAATCATCCAATTATTTGATATATTTATGTTGTATGTATATTGTTTAAAGTACTCGTTAAAGTAATTTTAATTGAATTTAACTGAAGAATATTAAAATGTAATTTATTTCTGTATTGTTGGGAGGGCGGTGTCCAAGAGTCCTTATGGGCTAGCCGCCACTGTTTTCATGGCAACCATAAAGATACTTACTATGTTTATACTGTTGACTTAAGTGAAAGTAAATTACTAACACCCAAGGTTTTTACTGTTACAATAATTATCTTTTATTTAACTGAAGTACACACACAACATTTTTACTCAAACATAACTTATTCAACAATTCTCTTTACAATAAAAAAATCCTAACTATTTACACATGGTCAGCTGTTACCAACATAAATTAAATTAAATACAGAACAAGTAACAGCAAACATATTATATAAAAATAAAATTACATTCAACACCTTCCCTTAATTTTAATTTTATGTAAGAAACAAAAAATAAATATCTCGATTATCGTCTTCTGTTCAAGATTTTGGATAGTTGATCAAAGCTTTGCTAAATTGATGAAACTTAACATTGTTCAAGGGTTTTGTAAACATATCCGCAACATTCTCAGATGTAGAAACAAAAGAAATGTTTATTTTACCTTGCCTTACATTTTCAGTCAAAAAATGGTAGCGAACATCAATGTGTTTGCTTCGCTTGTTAAAAATTCCATTTTTACAAAGCTTAATAGCACTTTGATTGTCCATGTTTAGGTTTGTTTCAACATTAGTTCCACTCAACTCTTGCAAGAAAGTTTTTAAATATAACACTTCTTTGACACATTCCGCCGCTGCAATGTATTCTGTTTCAGTGCTGGACAAAGCTACAATCGGTTGTCTTCTTGTACACCAGCTTATCGGGTCTTCTCCATACATTATGACAAATCCAGTAGTACCTCTTCTTGTATGCTTGCAATTTGCATAGTCTGCGCCACAATATACATTTAGGCAATTTTCTCCTGATGCTGAAAATAATATTCCTGCGTCTTGAGTACCTTTAATATATCTTAAGGTTCGTTTGACATTTACAACATCTTCATTGCTTGGATTCTCAACACATCTACTTTCTAATCCCACAGCAAGTGTAAGATCAGGTCTGGTTTTATTTGATAAGTACAGCAAACTTCCTACAACTTCTCTGTAAGGATAATCTTTTGTCAGGCAGCTTACTTCTTCATCAGGTTTGCTCGTTTTCACTGGACAAATGGGAGTGTCTACAGGTTTACAATCTATCATTCCATATTTTTCAAGAATACTGTTTGCATAGTTCTTTTGTGTTAACAATATCCCTTCCCTTGAATATAAAATTTCCATTCCAAGAAAGTTTGATGGGTTTTCGTCTGTTTTTATTTTAAAATCTCTAGACAGCTCGTTCAAAAGTTTCTTCATCTCTCTTTCATCTGAACCAGCAAGAATTCCATCATCAACAAATATAGCAAGATGAATACTGCCATTTGTAAAAACACAACGGTCAGACTGAGTTTGTTTTAAGCCATATTTTAGTAAGCAGTTTGTAAACAACTGGTTCCATTTAAATGGAGCTTGTTTAAGTCCATATAAAGTCTTTCTTAATTTCAAAACTTTATCTTTATGATCAAACCCTTCAGGTACACACATATAAATTTCTTCATCTAAATTTCCATATAGAAAAGCAGTTTTAACATCAAATTGCATTAGTTTGAGATTTTGTTTGGCAGCTAATGAAAATAACAAACGTAAAGTTGAATTACTTACAACTGGGCTGTAGGTTTCTTCATAGTCTATACCTTTTTCTTGGGCAAAACCTCTTACAACTAGTCTCGCTTTGTATTTTCCGTTATCCTTTCTTGTTAATACCCACTTGTTACTTAGGATCTTCTTGTTTAGTGCTTGCTTTTTGTCAACCACTTCCCACGTTTCATTCTCAATAAGGGAGTTTTTCTCATCCTCAATTGTTTGTAGCCAATTTTTTTTATCTTGTCCTTTGATTGCTTCTTCATATGTTAACATCACAAAATCTTTATATCTTTCAGGTAGTTTAGTGGTTCTTCTTAGTTTGATGCTTTGTGTAGTATCAGTATTACTTGAACTTGGCTGTTCTTCATTGATTTCATTTTTGTCTGAAGCCAACTCAAACTCTACTTCATTATTACTTATCACACTTAGATTATCTGCAATCTCAATATCTTCATTTTCAGTTTTGTCTTCTTTCTGGTCATTTTCAGTTTTGTCTTCCTTCTTGTCATTTTCATTTTTGTCTTTTTTCTGGTCATTCTCTGTTGTATTTTCAGAGAAAATAACCTCACCACCATTATTAGTTATTGCAGAAACAGACAACAAGTTTTTACTGAGTTCAGGAACATATAGCACATTATTCAGGATACATTCTTTGGATTTTACAGTTCCACTCGTCGAAGCTAAAATCGTTTGATTTTTCTTAGCAACATATATTTCAGAAGAAATATTTTGTTTATTAGGCCTACTAAACAAATCTTCACAATTTGTCATATGTGAAGATGTGCCTGAATCAACAACCCATTCAGATACAAAGTTTACAGTCCCACTATTAGCCCGAACATTTTCATCATACGACAAAAATGACACAGTTTTACTAGCGACATTTAGGTTCTGGCTTTTTCTAAAGTAACAATCTTTTTCATTATGATTTGACTTTTTACATATATTACAAAATAAATTTGGCTTTACATTTCTTTTTTCAAACTTGTTAACAAAATTTTTTACATTTCCACAGGTGTTTGCTAGATGACCAACAGCATTGCATTTAAAACACCGCCTTTCATTATCAGAGTTAGCCCAATTGTGTGTAGGTTTCTTGCAGTATTTTGCTTTATGGCCTGGAATTTTACAGTTGTGACAAACAACTTGGAATGCAAGATTTTTCTCTAGGCTTACCTCCTTTAACTCACTTCTTGACTCTTCTGCTAACAGTCTCGCTGTTAGATTTGCCAATGTCTTTTCTTCATTGGGCATTGATTCCCAGGCAGTTACAAAATACTTAAATCTATCTGGCAGACTGACAAGAATTTTTGATATTATCATTTTTTCATCAATATCTTGTTTTAAAGTTTTTAGTCTGTGTGCTATGTTTTCAATTCTACTTATGTGAGAACTTATATCAGAA